TGTATATATATACTACTTCTCAAGAAAAAATTGTATAGATCCATACATTTTTAAAAAAATTATAGCACTTTAAAGTAAAAAACCCCGCACAGTGGGGTCGTAGCATAGTTGGGTCCAGTATAGATGATATCTGACAGTGATTAAAATCACTATCATAAAAAACGCTTCGATTCAAATCTGTAGATAGTGTTTAATTCAAAAAAAAATTTTTTTTTAAAATAGCATATTTTGAATACGGTAGCCATTTGCGCATAGAAGATAAGATGTCGTGACAAATTTTTTTTTTTCATTTAATAGTATATAACATAACATTTGATTTGATATATGTTTAAAGGTCTTTCCGGAACATTTTCAAAAATTAAGTTGAAAAAGATAGAAAAAACCTCCAAAAAAATTACTGCCGTAACTTTTTCAAAAATGAACATAATAATATAATTTTTTTTATATAGATGCTTGATGTCTTTACCTATCATTTGGTACATTTTTTTTGTAAATTTAACCCTTTGTCTGCCCACAGGGGGGGATTTAAAATGACAACTTTTTCACAAAAAATTAGCTTTTTCAACTTGATTTTTGAAAATGTTCCGGAAGGTCTGACACTTTTATATATATCTAAAATTAAAGTTAATGTAATATACTTTATCATGAAAAAAAAAAATTTCGTAATTTATTTTATCTTCACGGTGAAAATGGCTGCCAAATGCTATTTTTGTGTGAAAATTTTCGATTTTGTATTTTACATTTTTAATTTTATAGTGCTAAACATTGAAAAGTGTATGGATCAACACAATTTTTTCATGAGAAGTAGTATTTATATACATCTTTCATTCGACATACCGTTTTTTTAAATCGAACCATTTCCCTTTATTTGAGGGGGGTTCAAATCTAAAAAATGTATGTAGAAAGTAGAACTTTTTCATCTTAACTTTTAAAAATGTTCCGGAAAGTCTGACACTTATATATATCTTAAATTAAAGTTAATGTAATATACTTTATTATGGTAAAAAAAAATTTCGGACTTTATTTTATCTTCACGGTGAAAATGACTATCGAATGCTATTATTGTGTGAAAATTCTCGATTTTATTTTTTACATTTTTAACTTTATAATGCTAAACATTGAAAAGTGTATGGATCAATACAATTTTTTATGAGAAATAATATTTTTTAATAATCCATTTTTCATTCGACATGCTTTATCTTAATCAGGATATTAATAAGGAACTAGCAGTTTATGAAGCTTTTGGAATAATCCACCAATTTTTTAAAATTAAACACTATCTAAAGATTTGCATCGAAGCGTTTTTTTTTTATAGTGATTTTAATCACTGTCAGATATCAGTATACTTGATCCATCTATGAGAGCCACGTCACCACTGTGCCGCGACCCCCCGTGCTGGGTTTTTTAATTTTGCAGTATATTAATAGCAAAATTTGAAGGTCAAAAAATTTTTAATTAAAATTTTTTTTTCTTTTCAGAAACTTTTAGTAATTTTCTTTTAACCCATATTTGAATCGATTTATAATTTTTTTTGTATCGTTTTACGGTCTTGAACATGCAAGGTTTGCTGAAAATAGCCAACTCTATCATCTCATTACACAAAAGTGACTGAACAAATTTTTTTCAAATTTACATAGTACTTTCCTTTAGGCAATTAAAACGTCTGGTGAAACTTCAAAAATAAAGAGTGTACACTCAAAAAAAGAAAATCCACCCCATTTTTGAAGAACTTAAACCCGTTTGAGGCACCTGAAAGGTTTGACTTATTGTACTCAAATTTTACCAGTTTCATTTTTTCAGTGAACCTAACGAAATTTCGAGCCCATGACTCTAAATTTATGAAGTTGAAAAATAAGGACGACCCTAATATATATATTTGAAATATTCAGAATATTATTAATTTTTTAATTATTTAAAAATAAATGAAAATATCTAGATTAATATAAAATTTAACAATTCTAAACAATAATAGATAGCGTTAATTTTTAATGTGCTCTAATTGCATTGGTTCGACTATTTTAAATAATAAATTTTAAAACAAAAACTAAAATGTTCTATATTCTATCGACATTGAATAATAAAACCTTTAGGTTATTGAATAACAAAATGACTAAACAGATATAATTTGGGAGGTTTAATTTAATTAATTTTTTTATATCCTTATCTAACTGAAAGACTAAGATCTCTTAATTGCACTATATCATAAAAAAAAAAAAATAAAAAATTATTGAAAACTATCCAATTATTTATGGCCTGGTCTAACACAAATGTAGAGTTTCGCATATGAACTAAATAATAACAAAATCTTTCTAATTAATATAAAAAATATTTATGTTTGATAATTATATTACATAAATAATCAATAAATATATTTTAATTATAAAAAAATGCGTAACAAGCAGTATATAAATAAAATAATTATTCAATATTTAAAAAAATAATCAAGTTCTGAATATATCAATTGTATCATCTATTTAAACACCAATAGATGCATAAAAATGATTACTATGATTTTTTTGAAGTGATTTATTTCTATATTAATACAAAATAAAATTATTGTAACGAATTTTTCTTATAAATTTCATCTAAAAAATACGATTTTTTAAATCCTAATAAATTTTTCAAAAAACTTGCATGTTGAACTAAAATAGTGTCTTATGGTTAATGAATTTCTCCCCTAAAAATTCTATATTAAATTCAAAACCAAATTTATTTAAGCAAGAGGCAAATGTGCGATATCGTTGTTAACATAAACCATTAGGCTGAAATTGAAAAAATTTCTTAGGGTAACTCGTTATTACAAGAAAAAACGGTATCAAAATTAGAATAGCAAAAGTTGAAAGTTTTTATTTCTTCATCATTTTTTTTTAATTAGGTCCTTAATTATTTTGTTTTTTATAGGTTTTATAAAGAGTGTTTGTTACTGAAAATAATTAATGCACAATATGATAAGACTTTGATGTACAATATTATAGATCCTCATAGATATTATTCTATATAAAAAAAAATGGCATAATCAAAATTTATTGTTAAGACGTAAAACGTATTATAACTTTTTTGATAATTTTTTAGTTATATTGTTGTGCGTGCCCACGTGGTAAAAGAATAAAACTTAATAAAAAAAGGAAACACTCACTTTTCAATAAAAATGTAGAATATATAATGTGATTGAACAGTAAATAATACAATACAACGTTAATTATTAACCACCATATATTCTATACTCTACTCAATATAAAATAATATCAAGGGGTTCTTAACAATATATTATTTTCTCTGTTGCTTAATATTAATTATTGAGAATTTTTTTTTTTTTATTAAAATCTTATTATATAATAGAACAAGGAAAAAAACGTTTTTCTGGGAAAATTACTTAGCGTATTCGGATTTTCAAAATTTTTTTTTTCAACGAAAGTACTCGGTCATCAGACTCCTAGAAAATTGACTCATTTCTGTCATACGTTTATTCTGAACCTTAATTATATGGTGTAATATGTATTTTTATTAGAACACTATTTAGTATTTGCACATAGCACTATATTTTATCGAGAGATATTATATGTTACATATAAATTTTAAGACGGTTATGATTATAGGAGTTTCTACTTTATCAGTTTATGTTTATCAGAACAGTACATTATTAATAATCTTTTTTTTCTCATATATGATATATGAGTCTATTAGTTTATCGTTTAAATGGGAATTCATCTATGACAATTATGCCGTCTTACGTTAAATCGCAGTTACCAATATTTTTATCAAAATTAAATTTTTTACGTAGTCTCATGTATAATAACCTGCTAAATTTGTTTGTAATTATTCTATAATATAAACACAATTATTATAATTAGAATATTAATAATTTTTGTGTATACCAGGGGTGTATTTAAGGGAGACATGGGCCCCCCTTGAACCAGTGCTATCAATATTTTTTTAGGCAACTTCTAATAAATAAGGACCTAATGTCCTTTTTTTTCATCATTACTTTGATTTTTAGCAAAAAAAAATTCTATAACATGTTTAACAAAGTAAAAAATATTAAATACCCTCCTAAAATAATTTTTGAATAAGCCTAAAGGGAATACCTCATTAAGAGGCTTCAACCTTATACCCAATACATTTTACTATATTCTCTTTTTGAATTTTCATGATTTTAATAAAAACATTTTTAATATATTTTTGTTACACTGATTCTGATGTAATATTTTTTCTGCAAAACACTTATCGTGCCCGTCGTAGCCGGGTATCTCTACCGAAATCATTGGCTTACTTATGATGACTGCCCGAAGAGGTTTACGCGCCGAAGGCTAGGCGGAGCCTAGTAGCAAATATTATAATATTATGTATATGTCAGTATTATTTAAACTTTATTTTTCATAGAATAATAAATACTCGATGATATAACTAAACTTATATGTTTATTGCATTTTGTAGTTCTCACATGAATCCTATTACTAAATTATTTAATTGGTGTAAAAAATTTAAGTTTACACGCGTAAGTAATTTAATATATTATAATACGCTTTATTGAGAATTTATCAATGACAGGGTAATCAATTAGTATGCGACTTATAAGTGTAATGTAGCACAACGTTAGTTGGATTACAAAATAAAAAAATCTCATGTTCCTTCTTTATAAAAGTAATTTATGAAAAATTTCCTTAATTCTATAATTAAGAAAATTTCTTTCTTTTATCCTTCGATTTTGTTTTTTGCTTAAATTTTCCCTACAAACGAGGAGTTTTCCTCCATTTCACAACACTGGAACAGGTTTAGAACGATTTAACGGCGATGGTCGCTGGTAGTAAACAATAACATCTTTGAAGTATTTTATGGGGATAATATTAACTGGAATGGCCTTCTAAGGTAATATATTTATATAAAAATAAAATGAAGTATATTATTAGGCTCTATTTATACGTATAATTAGTATAAATTATAGATATATTTATAATATTTTTGGAAATATTGTATTTGCTTTAATGTCTAAATAGCGTATATCTGAATATAATTATTTATTAATTAAAGATATTAAAATATTATCAGTTTATCCCATTTAAATACATTATTTTTCGTCGTTCATCCAAATATCTGAAGTACAGTCACCGCCTGGATATCTAGATATTTCAATAAAAAAACATTAATAGTGTGTCGATTTTAAAATTAAACTGCATACCGTGTTTCATGAGCCATTACTGGGCCAATTGGTTCTTTTCCAAAATCAACAAGGAATGAATAATCCAATGTCATTCCGCCATTTAAATGATCAATATCAAGTTTGACCAATGTCGAACCATTTCTACAAAATTACAATTTATTAATCATATATATATAATCAAACAATAAAAAAAAACTATTTACTTAACAGATTCTGGGTAAAACTCTTTATCCCACGGTGTAAATAACGCAGTAGTTACATAAAGACGTTTACCATCTAAACTCAATTGTAACATTTGAGGTGAGCCATACAATCGCCTGTTTTTTATGTAAACTGGCATAGGTTGTTCCTTAATTTTAAAAAAACTATTACTTTTACATTTTTTTCATGTGTATTAATCATTCGAATTTCAAATGTTTAATTTTAACCAGTCATATATTTGTTTTATTTGTAAAGATAGTTGTTTAATATACAGAATGATTTTTTTTATCATAACCCACTAATTACTTGCAGAATAAAAATCATTTAAACATTTTTTTTTTTGTAGTTTTCTTTAGATACACATTATTTTTGAATTATTAATTATGGAATACTTTATAAGTACATCCCTTATACCTTGTAACAGTGTCAACTTTGTTTTTTACATGGAAACACATATTTTTAATTTAAATGGCATTTGAATTTTTGATATAACTTTATTCGTTTATTAGATAAAAACATTTAAAGTTTCGAATTTTTGAGTTAATATACATGTATAATACACAAGGGATTACAAATACAGATAACTAATTGGTGATTTATGACGTCAATATTCGCAGGACACACATAATTTATTATTAATGGTAGTAAGACACATTGTTGTGAGTTTATAAATACACTATTCCTATTCCTAGAAGGCAGAGATGGATCCTTCTCGCTGAATGTGCAATTTAATTTGGTAATAGAATATCAGAGCACATTCTTAGCTTCGTATTTTATAAATGCCATATATTATATAAATGTTTTGTGTGTAGAATTAATTAATAAAAACTATTTCAAAAAAACTCAATTTTAATTCTCCACAAATAAAAATCAGACTGTGTTACGAGTACGCGGAGATGAAGTGCAAAATTATTTCGTTATGAAGATATCGCGTAAAAATTGCATCCATTGTGGTTCTTTAAAATTTTTCAATGCATAAACAAAATTATTTGAAATTAAATTATCTTCTATCACATGTAAGAACTACAAGAAAAAATTAAAGTGTTCGAATATTTTGTTATTAGTAATATAATTAATTTTTTAGCTTCGATACGAAGTTGAGAAGGTATTAATTTTACCATGATGTGTTTTTTTTTTTTTTATGTCTTTGCCACTTTTTCTCAGCTCTCACTGGACCGATTTCTTTCAACAATACGTCAAAAGATCACAAATTATATCTAGTTGAAGACATTACCCTAAAAAATTGAAAAAATTTCCTTCGTTCCCTGTAAATGAAGAAATCTCCAAAAAAATTACAAATTTAAAAATCGGTAAATTTTGTCATTTTTTTCACTTCTTTTTCTTAAAAATTCCTTAACTTTTTCAAAAATAAACAAATCAGCATAATTTTTTTTATACTAAAACATTAGATATATTCCTTTCAATTGATATCATTTTTTTGAAAATATAACACTTAATCTGCTCATTGGGGGGGATTTAAAATAGCAACTTTTTTAGAAAAACTAACTTTTTCAACTTAATTTTTGAAAATGTTCTGGAAATACTGTGTCGTTTAAACATATATCAAATCAAAGGTTCTGTTATATACTATAAAATGAAAAAAAAAAAATTTGTCCCGACACCTTATCTTCTATGTGCAAATGGCTGTCGAAATTAAACAAAAAATGTAATGTTTGCGATAAAAATCACCTTTTATCGGGATGTTTTTTGTACTTAAAACTGCCATAACTTTTTCAAATATTAACAATTCAAAATAATATTTTTTTTGTATTGAAACCTTAGGTAATTTCCTTTTTTTTCATATCATTTTTTTTGAATATCTAACACTTATTATGCTCACAGGGGGGTTTTAAAATAGCTACATTTTTACAAAAACTAACTTTTTCAACTTAACTTTTGAAAATGTTCAGGAAATACTGCGTCCTATTAACATATATAAAATTAAAGCTTATTTCATGTACTATAAAATGAAAAAAAATTTGTCCCGACGACCAATCTTCTATGCGCAAATGGCTACCGTATTCAAAAATGTGCTATTTTTGTATTAAAATTCTGGGTTTTGTATTTTAATTTATTTTAAAATATCTTATTAGGGGAATACACTGACTTTCATGAATATTGTATAATTTAATTGACATAGAATAAGTTCATAAGACATAAGAAATTAAATTTATTTATATTTTTTTGCTTTTTTAAAGTAGAAAAAGTAACTTTTAAATTTGACTTACATAGCTTATGTTGCGTATACAGTCATATGGTGTCTTGTTGTGACCGCCCCATCAATATGTGATTGACCGCTGATAAAAATAATTAAACGAGTTCTATGCGACTCTTTAAAACGAGTCAATATTATTCTATTCGCAATTAAAACGCTCGCTCGAGTATCGTTAATACCAAACTGAACGGTATATTATCGTTTCATTTTATTTTCTCTTTTATTATTTTGTGCTCTTTTGAAGCACCGCAAAGGTGTATACGCGCCTACCTTCGCATACGCCAAAAATTCGCCATCGTCGGGACGAGATAACTTCATTTCCACGCTGTGGAACGCCTTCTGTAACAAGTCTCCTGTAATTCGCAATCCAGCCGTAAACCAGGTTACTGCCATTTGTGGATCTACAGGTCGCCTTTATTATGTTATTTTACATTACTATTAAATTATCAATTAATGTACCTATGTATATATTTTAGTACCATTAAGTTTTACTAACATTAATTTTAGTGACATAGTATGTTTGTATAATATGCTTATATAGAAATATTAATATATTAATGCTCTCCATATCTTTTAATAATATTCCATATTCTGTTGTCTACTTCTTGTAGTGTTATCCTTTTAAATTTTAGTTAAAGGAACACTCAAACATTTTGGTCCTTCATACCACGATATTGATCCTAGTAATTTTGTTTTGTCATTCTATTTAAATTATTTTTATAATAAGCGTTCAGTAATTTCCTTAATGCACATATAATTAACTTATTATTGTTTTCTTCTATTCTATTATCATACTGGTGGGGTGTACTGTTTATCAACAATTAAAAACACCGCATACTACCAACGTTCAAAGGTTAGAAGTTCTTAATTCCTGATCATAAAATTTTCAACATTATGGGAAAAAATCAAGCTCGTTTATCGGTGTGATCGGGAAAATACTTTGTTGTGCATAGTTATATATGTTAACCGGTATATAATTGATTGTGCCGTTATCGGATTTTAATAGTGTGTAGATTATTATCGTTAGTTATTTCATTTTTATCGCTCATAAGTATAATCATAGTATATACATAGTTAATAATCAATAATAATGATTTAGGTAAACAATTACTACCGGGCTATTAGTGTGATTACTACTGTTTATCTTCATCAATTATTTTTATCGATCGTGTAGCTTCTATAAATCTATGTTCCTATTAGCTTGGTTGGCAGTTACTATTTATTTTGATATTTTATTGGTTCAGTAGTACTCATTTCTTAAATATAAAACTTACTTACGAAAGCCAGTATATAATTTGTTGTCATTATGCCATTGACAGTTGGTGACACCGAACGGACGGAGCGCGCCCTCAAGCGTAGTATTTTTAAACGTAATGAACAAGTTAATAATATTGAAACGCTGTTAAGCTTAGTCAATGATGCTGAAAGAAATATTGATGCTAAACTCGTTCTTCAAACGCGCATTAAAGACATTGAAATTGTCATGACGGACTTTCGAATTGAACAGGATGAGATTTTGACTAATCTTATTGTACTTTCGCGTGAAGAAGAATACGCTAAAACGCACGCGTCTATTGGTAAACAAGTGTTAGATAATTATTATTTGATAAAGGCATCGATGACAGCTTTAGGAATAAATGATAATGAAAAAAAGATAAATACAGTAACTAATAATTTTACACATTTATCAAAATTACAATTACCGACTTTTGAGGGAGATATTTTGCAATGGCGTTCTTTTCGCGATACGTTCACTTCTGCAGTTCATAATAATGAACAGTTATCAAATGTTCAAAAATTCCATTACTTAATAACCGCTGTAACTGGTTCTGCTGCCTCCATAGTACGTTCAGTGCCTTTAACGGAAGCTAATTATGAGGTTGTATGGAAGGCCTTACACGAACGTTTTGATAATAAACGCGTATTACTAAATGCTCACTTGGACGCTATATNATTTTACTAAATGCTCACTTGGATGCTATATTTCGTTTTACCCCGTTAACATCGGAGACTTTAAATGGTTTACGAAATTTCTTGAGTATATTTCAAGAGAATGTAGGTGCCATAAAAGCCTTGGAANGAGAATGTGGGTGCCATAAAAGCATTGGAAATAAATGATTTGTCAGGTTTTCTACTTTTTTATATCGCGTCGCGATGTTTAGACTCATCGACAAAGCGTGCCTTTGAGTATGAATTTCACGAGATCGATGTACCGACTTTAGACTTGTTACTAGATTTTGTGAAAATTCGTNAACTTTAGACTTGCTACTAGATTTTGTGAAAATTCGTTGTCAAGTTTTACAAAATGTTCCATTAGTACAACATTTTCAATCAAAAACCTTGGATAGCAATAAAAAGTATGTTAAACAAAAATCTTCTTTCGTCGCGCTCTCTACATCTAGTACTCCTAACTGTAAATTGTGTAAAGAGAATCACTTGCTATTTCAATGTTCAAAATTTACGCAGAAACCAGTCAAACAAAGATTTAAATTTTCTCGTGATAATAAATTGTGTATGAATTGTTTAAGTTCATTTCATAAAACGGCCGATTGCAATTCTACAAATACTTGTCGTCATTGTTCCGCCAAACATCATTCTTTATTACATTGGGAGTACCTTCACAAACATCATCAACTAATCACAGTAATACAGGAAACTTAGCTTGTGTTAGTACGGATGTCATTGCTAACACAAATAATACGTCATTTTCGGGAGTTTCACGCTTTACTAATAGTGTTGTACTAGGTACTGCTATTGTGCGACTGCGTGACATTGATGGTGATTGGGTTTCAGTTCGCGCCTTAATAGATACCGGCTCACAGATTTCGGTAATAACTAATGCGTGTGTTAATTGTCTTGGTCTTAAACGTCGTATGTGTAATACGTCGGTTGCCGGTTTATCGGACACTTATGTGTCTGCTGTTAAAGGCTCT